GAGGTGCAGAAAGCAAGATCAATAGTATTTGAACTTAGGAGAAGTCCATTCAGCAGTCTAATAGCAACAGGGAAGAAGCTGTTCTCGAACCTGTTAGTGTGTGTGTGATCAAGCCTCTGTATCTTCTGCCTCATGGAAGAGAGTATTACTGGGGTGGGCGGGGTCTGTGATGTTGGCAGCCTTTCTGCAGCAACAAGAAGTGTAGATGGAGTCCATGGATGGGACTTTGGCCCCCGTGATGGTCTGCGCCCTGCACTCAACTTTCTGTAGTTTCTTACGATCCCATGCAGAGCAGTTACCATACCAGGCCGTTATGCACCTAGATGAAATGCTTTCTATGGTGCATCTGTAAAAGATGGTGAGGGTCCTGATGGACATACTGAATTTCCTGAGCTGTCTGAGGAAGAAGAGGTGTGCCTTCTTGACCTTTGCATCTATGTGCGAAATTCAGGACAGACTGTCGGTTATTGTCACTCTCAGGAACTTGACCCTCTCCACCTCAGCTCCATTGATGTAGATGGGGGTGTGTTCTTCTCCTTTCTCCCTGAAGTCAATGATCAGTTCTTTTGTTTTGCCGACATTGAGACAGAGATTGTTATCATTGCACCACGTCACCAAACTCTCTGTCTCCTTTCTGTGTTCTGACTCGTTGTTTGACATCTGTCCTGCAAGGTGATGTCGTCAGCGAACTTGTATATGCTGTTTGTTCAAAATTTGGCTACACTGTCGTGGGTGTGCAGGGAGTAGGGACTGAGGACGCATCCTTGGGGGTTGGGGGGGGCGGGGCTCCAGTGTTGATTGGTATCATGGAGGAGGTGCAGTTGTCTATCTTCATTGATTGCAGACTATGGGTCAGGAAGCTGAGGATCCAGTTGCAGAGGGCAGAGCTGAGACATAGGTATTGAATTTTGAGATTAGTCTGGTAGGGATTATGGTGTTGCAGGCAGAGCTGCAGTCGATGAGTAGGAGGCTGACGTAAGTGTCTTTGTTATCCAGATGTTCCAGGATGAGTGTAGGGCTAGGGAATTGCTGCCCCCTGTGGACCTGATTCGCCAGTAGGCAAACTACAGGGGATTGAGGAAAAAAATTGTCCATTTTGGCAGGAAGAGTAAAAAAGCATGTGATGTAAATGGTGAGATATTGCAAAACTCTATGATTAATTCTTTTAAAAATTCATTCACGGGATGAGGGCGTCGCTGGCCAGGCAGCATTTATTGCCCATCCCTAATTGCCCAGAAGGCAGTTAAAAGTCAACCACATTGCTGTGGGTCTGGAGTCACATGTAGGCCAGACCAGGTAAGGATAGCAGTTTCCTTCCCTAACGGACATTAGTGAACCAGATGGGTTTCTCCAACAATCAACAACGGATTCACGGTCATCATTAGACTCTTCATTCCAGATATTTATTGAATTCAAATTCTACCATCTGTCATGGCGGGATTCGAACCCGGGTCCCCAGAATGTTATCTGGGTCACTGGATTAACAGTCCAGCGATAATACCATGAGGCCATCATCTCCCACTAGGGAGCACAGGGATCTACGTGCATGCCCTCGTGCATGAATCACATAAGGTTTGTATGTAGATACAGCCAATAATTAGGAAAGTTAAGTGAGGGAACTGAATATAAAAGTAGGGAGGTTTTACATCTGCTATACAGGGCACGAGCCCAACCTCATCAGAATACTATGCACAATATTGGTCACCCTACATGAGGAAGGATGCAAATATATTGAAGAAGTCCAGAGAAGGTTTACCAGACTGACAACTGTAATCAGAGGGCTGTCGAATGAGCAAAGGTTGGAAAGGCTAGGTTTGAATCTGCTGGAATTCAGAAAAGTGACAGGGTATTTGACTGATACACAAGAGCCTAAGGAGTCTTGACAGGTGGATGTGGAGAGACTGTTTTCCCTTACGGGAGATTCCAAAACTAAGGGTCACTGTTTGAACATTAGAGGTCACCCATTTAAAACAGAGATTAGATTATTTTTTTTTGTCAGAGGGTGAGTCTTTAGAATGCGTTTGCTAAAAGATGGTGGAAGCAGATGCTGGGGAGACCTCATGATATTAATCACTGGACTGTTAATTCAGAGACCCAGGTAATGTTCTGAGGACCTGGGTTCGAATCCTGACTCTTAATACCAGATTTATGTTTTGAATTCCAAGTCTAACTCATGACCATGAATCCATTGCCAATTGTTGGAAAAACCTCCGACTCATTTTTAGGGAAGGAAACTACCATCCTTACCTGGTCTGGCTACATATGACTCCAGACTCCCAGTAATGTGGCTGACTTTTAACAGCCCTCTGGGCAATTCAGGATGGCAATAAATGCTGGCCTAGCCAGCAACACCCTCATCCCGTGAATGAATTAAAAAAAGCAGAGGTTTTGAATATTTAGATAGATTCTTGTCAATAAAGGGGTGAAAGGTTATCAGGAATAGGCAGGTATGTGGATTTGGGGACACCGTCAGATCAGCCATGATTTTATTGAATGGCAGAATGGACTAAATGGGCCATTCCTGTTCCTTATTCATATGATCATATACGGTGTTTTTCTTAAATTTGATCCCCTGCCTTAATGGTAATGGGTTGAGTGGGAGATATGCTGGGCCATGAGGTTACAGATGGTGCTGGAGTTCATTCTGCTGCTGTTGATGACCCACAGCGCCTCATGGATGTCCAGTCTTGAGGTGCTGCATCTGTTTGAAGTCTGTCCCATTTAGCACGGTGATAGTGCCACACAACGTGATGGAGGGTACTCTCAAGTGTGAAGGTGGGACTTTGTCTCCATAAAGACTGTCACTCTTGCCAATACTGTTAATGGGCAGACACATCTGCAGCTGGCAGATTGGTAAGGATGAGGTCAAGTATATTTTTCCCTCTGTTGGTTCCCTCACCACCTACTGCAGACCCAGTCTAGCAGCTATGTCCATTATGGCCTGACCAGCTCGATCACTAGTACTGCTGCCGAGCCACTCTTGGTGGTGGACATTAAAATCCCCCACCCAGAGGACATTTTGCACCCGGCCTCTTCAGTGCTGCCTCCAAGTGTTGTTGAACATGGAGGAGTACTGATTCATCGGCCAAGGGAGGACAGTACATGATAATCAGCAGGAGGTTCTCTTGCCCATGTTCAAATTGAAGCCATGAGACTTCATGGAATCTGAAGTCAATGTTGAAGATTGCCAGGGCAACTCCCTAATTCCAAGATGGAGGCAGTGGAATAGCAGTGTTTGTGCCCGGGTCTTAAGCGTGCAGCTTGTCCGTTCAACCAGCCACTTTCCACACAGCACCCCCACCACCCCACTGCCACCTCCCCATCATTTTTCTGTCTTTTTCTTTTACTTTTGGTCCATTTTTGCTTCCCTTTTACAGTGGCATCGGTCCCCTTCCCGGAGTCTTGGCAATGCTGGGAGTGGTTCCATCCTGGGAGGTTGGCAGCAGCTGCTTCAATGTAGTGGGCTCGGCGTCAGGTTTGAGCCCAGTTCGGGGCCTGGCAGCTTCAGCGGTTAGCTGCGGAGATCGGATCAGCATGGGCTTATGGCAGCGACAACATCAGTGGGCACAGGATGGCACTGAAGAATGGCAACATGGTTCCGATGGTGATGGCACAGCTCCAGGGCATGGATTGAGGATGGACTTTGTGGCTTTGTTTCTCTGGAGGTGAGGACTCATTGTGGAGCGGAGGGGCGAGTGATCTGGTCACTTCCTTTTCTTTTGGCTGTTTCATTTATTTCTGCTTCTGTTTTTAATCCTCTCTTTTGGATGCTAAGATGGTGCTGGAGACTGGCAATTCTGTACACTTTTCACTGTACTCCTGCATTCGAGTACCCGTGACAACAAAACGTAAATCTACGCTGTATATCACTGTGTGCTGCCACCACTGCTGGGTCTGTCCTGCTGGTGGGACAAGGCATTTTCGGGGATGGCAATGGTGGTGTCTGGGATATTGCCTGTCAGATGTGATTCCTTGAGTATGACTTATATCAGGCTGTTGCTTGACGAGTCTGTGAGACAGCTCTCCCAACTTTGGCAGTAACCCCCAGATGTTTGAAAGGACGGCTTTGCAGGATCGACAGGGCTGAGTAAGTCATTGCCATTTCCAACACCTTGGTCAATGTCAGGTGGTCCACCCAGACCCAGTCCAGATGGTCCATTTCATTTCTTTTTTAATACTGTTTTTAAACTGGTTAATACAGTTGAGTGGCTTGCTAGGCTGTATTTGCAATGTGTAAGCAGTCTTGGACCCAATTTCTAAAGAAGGATTGCTGACCTTTAGGGGGGTCCACAGGAGGTTTACAAGAATGAACCGGGGGATGAAGTGCTTATCATATAAGGAACAGTTGAGGGCTCTGGGTCTGTAACCGATGGAGTTTAGAAGGATGAGCGGGGATCTGATTGAAACTTACAGAATACTGAGAGACCTGGATGTGGACAAGATGTTTGCACTCGTAGGAGAGACAAGGACATGAGTGTACAGTGTCAGAATGAAATAACGACCCTTCAAAACTGAGATGAGGATGAGTTTCTTCAGCCAGAGACTGGTGAATCTGTGGAGCCCATCACTACAGAGCCCTGTGGAGGCCAAGTCATTAAGTGTATCAAGACAGAGATAGATAGGTTCTTGATTGGTAAAAAGGGATGAAGGGTTATGTAAGAAGGCAGGAGAATGGGGTTGAGAAAATATCAGCCATGATTGAATAGTGGAGCAGAACTGATGGGCTGAATGGCCTAATTCTGCCCCTACATTTTATGGTCTTATGGTCTCTGACCTTCCCATTCTATGAGCCTCAAGTTTGTCATCCCTCTTAACTGGTATTTCACATCAGAATTTAATATAGACAACATCCATTTCATTCCCTTCATTAACTCTCTGTTAAATCAAGAAAATTCAATTAGTTGTGCACAATCTACCTTTTGCAAAATTGTGCCGACTCCTCCTTAAATTCTCTGTCTCGTGGTGATCCTGCACTTAAACCAAAATAGAAAATATCCTACCTTTACCAGGCTAGACAGGCCATCATCACTGTTCTTGGGTAACTGTTGAATAAATAGAAGATTTTTAGCAAAGAGAGGCAATTAATAACATTGAAAATAAATTTTACTTTGCTAAGAGCCAAATCAGGCCAAATGTTCTGCAAACATGTGTCCACTGGTTTCTGTGATATTTCTAACTACATGCAACACTAATCCAGTCCCCAAACCAGCATGAGCAGATTATTAATGAGATTCAGCTCTGTCACTAGTGGCTCAAAATCTTCTCAAGCAGCTTTGGACAGTGAACCATTGGCACTCCAACCCCGTCAAGATTCCAATCTTCACAAACAGCTCTATCAGAGACTGTTGGACAAAATGTGATTATAGCTACCTGCCACAACACAGCCATGATCTTGTCAGCCCTTTGGAGAGGGCCAAGGTGTTGGTTTGGAAGTCTGATGTGTTCCCATCACCAGGGGATATTCCCAATGGCTGGAACAACAGCAGTGTAATAGGTGCAGACCGGGGGCAACAGCCAATTACACAAATTAATTGGGAACAAAAACAGAAGTTGCTGGAAAATCTCAGCAGGTCTGGCAGCATCTGTGAAGAAAAAAAAAAATCAAAGTAAACGTTTCGGGGCCGGTGACCCTTTCTCAGAACTGGACCAGAAACGTTAACTCTGATTTTTTCTTCACAGTTGCTACCAGACCTGCTGAGATTTTCCAGCAACTTCTGTTTTCATCCCTGATTTACAGCATCCGCAGTTCTTTCGGTTTTTACACAAATTAATTGACTTACAGATGGCCATTTTACCAAGCCACCAGCATTTTGCCAGAATTAGAATGGCTGCCTGTGATATAGTTGGAGTTCATGAACTGCATGAGGCTCCCAGCAGCTCCCCTGCTATTCTTCAATCCATAGAGACTCCTCGGCCCAAGGATTAACTCACCACACAGTAAATGGCCAGCCCAATGGCCCCATTGCCACTGCTGGAGTTCACATCTCTGATCAGTAGGCCCTGCTTATCGGGCAAATCAATTTCTGTCAAGAAGGAGGCCTCCTCTTGTTTCCCTTGCAGTCCTAACAGTGGCCAACTGTCTAGGTGGTGTTGTTGAGGCTGCAGAGCTAACAGCCCCCTGAACAGGCTCACAACGTGGAGAGACAGCTAATGTTCTTAACTGGATAGTGCCCAATAGTTGGACACTGCCAGTAAGATTACTATCATGGTCCCACTGTCCATTGGTGCACTTGATCCTGGTGATAGGGCTCAGCCGTGCCAGTAAAATCTCAGCATACAAAGATGGAAGCAGACACAATGAAGCAAACAATTCTATACTCACTCGTTTTTTAAAGTAGATCCTCCATTTATGATATTCTTTAATTACAACCTCAATCCGCCTTTTCCAGTAGTTTCCCTCCAACACAATTGCCTGTAATAAGAAGAAACAAAACTTTTCAAACTACAGAAAGCATTAAACCCAAAATGCAAGGGAATGGGTGGGGTAGACAGGAGGATGGTAGGGTAAAAACAAAAATCACAGCAAAAAAAAGGGGCAAGAGTTTACAAGTTGTCCAAAGTTAGAGAAAAACCCCAATACTAATCAGTGTTAGCACCCAGAGGTAACGCTCAGAAATCCTTTAAGTGCCAGTGTTAGCATCTAGAGATGGTGCACTGAGATTCAGTGACAGTGCCCAGAGATAACGCTCAGAGATCCACTGACAGGGTACAGAGACCCCATAATAATGCAAAGTAACAACACACAGTAAACCAGAGACTGGATTCAGAAACCCAACAATGCAAGAACTTCAGAACAGAAAATAGGACCAGGAGCAAATCATAGAATCCCTACAGTGTGGAAACAGGCCCTTCGGCCCAACAAGTCCACACTGAACCTATCAGCATCCCATCCAGACCCATCCCCCCATAACCCACCTAAACTACACATCCCTGAACACTATGGGCAATTTAGCATGGCCAATTCACCTAACCTTTGGACTGTGGGAGGAAACTGGAGCACCCGGAGGAAACTCCGCACAGACAGTCACCAGAGGGTGGAATCGAACCCGGGTCCCTGGTGCTGTGAGGCAGCAATGCTAACCACTGAGTCACCATGGTGCCCCAAATCATTCAGCTCTTCAAGGCAACAATAATGGCTTCAATTTTGTAAGACTTTGATTAGGCCACATTTACAGTATTGCATTCAATTCTGGTTGCTACGTTACAGAAAGGTTGTGGATGCCTTGGAGAGGGTGCAGAAGAGGTTTACCAGATGCTGCCTGGATTAGGGGGTTATTAGCTACAAGGGGAGGCTAGAAAAACTTGTGTTGTTTTCTCTTGAACAGTGCTGGCTGAGGGGAGACTTGATTGAAGTCTATAAAATTATAAGATGCATAGATAGGGTTGACGGTCAGAATCTTTTTCTCAGAGCTGTAATGTCTAAAACTAGGGGGCATGCATTTAAGGTGAGCGGGGAAAAGTTCAAAGAAGATGTGAGGGGCAATTTGTTTACACAGAGAGTGGTAGGAGCCTGGAACGCACTGCTAGGGGTGGTGGTGGAGTTAGATATGATAAGAGGGTTTAAGGGACTTTTAGATAAGCACATGAATGTATGAGGAATGGTGAGATATGGACCAAGGGCAGGCAGCAGGGATTAGTTTCATTTGGGGTCATGTCCAGCACAACGTTGTGGGCCGAAGAGCCCGTTCCTATGATGTACTGTTCTCTGTTCTAACTTCACTGTCCCACCTGGGTTGGCATAGCCCTCGATTCCTGAGAGACCAAAAAATCTTACTATCTCAGAATGAAAACAAATGTTTAGATTTGAAAGGGGAGAATAGCAGAAGTACAGCCCAGAGACAAATGATCGGCCATGATCCTATCGAATAGTATAGCAGGCTTAAAGGGATACACAGACTACTCCTGCTCCTATTTCCTGTTTCTTTGTGATATTTTCAAACAACAGAGCCTCCAAAACATTCTGGAGTAAAGAATTCCAAAAGATGCATAACCTTTTAGTGAAGACGTTTTCTTCATCTCAGAGTTAAATGATTGATTTCATTCCCTGAAACGGCAGCTCCATGCCCCCACATGTTTTATATATCCCAGCCAGGGAAACCAACTTAGTATCTATCAGTGTAGAGTTCCACTAGTCAGCCTGAAAATGCCCTATTTATCCCGACTTTCTGATAATTGTCTGTTAATTAATCCTCTATCCAGACTAATTTATTACCTCAGCCCTGAGACCCTATTTATCTCACACAATAATTTTTGGGGCACCTCAATGAATTCCTTTTTCCTTGAATGTACTTGAATTACTCCTACTGGATCTAATTCCGCAACCCTAAGAGTTACATGCTGAAAATTTTCTAAAATTTGTCCAGTGCATTTTCCCTCTCATAAAATTATGTTGATGCTATCTGGCCATACCACGACATTCAATGTTTCCATCAAGTCTGTACCAATCAAAAATACCCATCTAACTATTTCAATCCCATTTTCCAGCATTTGGCCTATAGCCTTGTATGCCTCACGTCACAAGTACACATCTAAATACTTCTTGAATGTCATGAGAGTCTCTGCATTTACCACCCTTACAAGCAGTGGTTTCCAGATTCCTATCACCTTCAAAGGACAAACAGCAAAGAACAAGAACAGGAACAGGCCCCTCAGCCCTCCAAGCCTGCGCTGACACATTTTGCTCTTCCATACTAAAACTGTCTTCACTTACAGGATCCGTATCTCGATTCCCTTCCTATTCATGTATTTGTCCAAGTGCTTTTTGAATGTTGCTATTGTGTCTGCTTCTACCACCTCCTCTGGCAGCAATTTCCAGGCACTCACCACCATTTGTGAGAAAAACATGCCCCGCACATCTCTTTTAAACTCCCCCCAGCTATCCTGCACCTTGAACTTGTGTCCCCTAGTAATTGACCCCTCCACCCTGGGAAAAAGCCTCATACTTTCCCCTCTATCCATGCCATTCAAATTCTTATAAAGTTCTAGATGAAAAAGATTTACTTCACATTTCCTCTAAACCTTCTGCCCTTATATGCCCCTGGTCATTGACCCCCTCCATCTTCCTGTCTTCCTTACCTACAGCCCTCATAATTTTATACATCTCAATTATGTCCCCTTTGAATCTCCTCTGCGTTAAGAGCAATAACCCCAGTCTGTCTAATCTCTTGTCATAACTGAAACTCTTCAACCTAGGTATCATTCTGGTACCGTTGATCAGTGTTCACTTGCCTTGTTTGCCCTGTCTAAGTTTATCACTTCATATTTATCCAGATTATATTCCATTTGCCACTGATCAGTCCACCTAACCACCCTGTCCATATCCTCCTGTTATCTAAAGTTATCCTCCTCACCATTTACCATCCCATCAATTTTCATAGAATCCACAATCATACAGTCACAATTCATAGATAGACTCACAGAGTCATACAGCACAGAAAAGGTCCATTGAGTTCGTACCAATATAATTACCACTGAAGATGCACTAATCCCAATGTCCTGCACTTGTCCCATATCCTTGAATGTTATGGTGTCTGAAGTGGTTATCCAAATATTTTTTAAAGTTTGTAATGTTTCTGGCCTCCACTACCTTCCCAGGCAGTGCATTCCGGATTCCCACCACCTGTTGAGTGAAAACGTTTTTTCCTCAAATCCTCTCTGCATCCCTTGCACCTTACCCTAAAACTATGCCCTCTCATGACTGACCCCTCAACCAAGGGGAACAGTTTTTTCTTTCTATTTATTTGTGGGATGTGGGTGTCACTGGCAGGCCAGCATTTCTCGCCCATCCCTAGTTGCCCTTGAGAAGGTGGTGGTGAGCTGCCTTCTTGAACTGCTGCAGTCTACCTGCTGTGGGTTGACCCACAATGCCCTTAGGGAGGCAATTCCAGGATTTTGATCCAGCGACAGTGAGGGAACGGCGATATATTTCCAAGTCAGGATGGTGAATGGCTTGGAAGGGACCTTGGTGGTGGTGTTCCCATATGTCTGCTGCCCTTGTCCTTCTAGACAGAAGTGGTCATGGGTTTGGAAGGTGCTGTCTGAGGATCTTTGGTGAATTTCTGCAGTGCATCTTGTAGATAGTACACACTGCTGCTACTGAGTATCGGTGGTGGAGGGAGTGGATGCTTGTGGATGTAGTGCCAATCAAGCGGGCTGCTTTGTCCTGGATGGTGTCCAGCATCTTGGGGGTTGCTGGGGTTGCACTCATCCAGGCAAGTGGGGAGTATTCCATCACACTCCTGACTTGTGCCTTGTAGGTTGTAGACAGGCTTTGAGGAGTCAGGAGGGAGTTACTTGCTGCAGTATTCCTAGCTTCAGACCTGCTCTTGTAGCTGCTGTGTTTATGTGGTGAATCCAGTTGAGTTTTTGGTTAATGATAACCCCTAGTAGATGATAGTGGGGGATTCAGTGATGGTAACACCGCTGAATGTCAAGGGGCAGTGGTTAGATGGTCTCTTATTGGTCATGGTCATGGCCTGGCATTTGTGTGGCACGAATGTCACTTGCCATTTGTCAGCACAAGCCTGGATATTGTCCAGATCTCGTTGCATTTGAACACGGACTGCTTCAGTATCTGAGGAGTCACGAATGGTGCTGAACATTGTGCAATCTTCGGTGAACATCCCCACTTCTGACCTTATGATGGAGGGAAGGTCATTGATGAAGCAGCTGAAGATGGTTGGGTCTAAGACATTACCCTGAGGAGCTCCTGCAGGGATGTCCTGGAGCTGAGATGACTGACCTCCAACAACCACAACCATTTTCCTATGTGTCAGGTATGACTCCAACCACCGGAGTGTTTGCCCCCTGATACCCATTGATTCCAGTTTTGCTCGGGCTCCTTGATGCCACACCAGGTTGAATGCAGCCTTGAAGTCAAGGGCTGTCACTCTCACCTCACCTTTGGAAATCAGCTCCTTTTGTCCATGTTTGAACCAAGGCTGTAATGAGGTCAGGAGCTGAGTGGACCTGGCAGAACCCAAACTGGACGTCACTGAGCAGGTGCTGCTTGATAGCACTGTTACTGACACCTTCCATCACTTTACTGATGATCGAGAGTAGACCGATAGGGAAGTAATCGGCCACGTTGGATTTGTCCTGCTTTTTGCAAGTTTTCAGTATTATTGCCGGAATGTTATCAGGGCCCATTGCTTATTTAGTATCCAGTGTCTCCAACTGTTTCTTGATATCACATGAAGTGAATCGAATTGGCTGAAGACTGGTATCTGTAATGCTGGGCTCACTGGAGAAGGCCAAGATGGATCATCCACTCGGCACTTCTGGATGAAGATTGCTGCGAATGCTTCAGCCTTATCTTTTGTACTGATGTGCTCGGCCCTTCCATCATTGAGGATGGGGATATTTGTGGAGCCTCCTCCTCTGGTGAGTTGTTTAATTGTCCACCACCATTCA